ACCTTGAATTTTTTGTCCCCAAAAAATCTTAGAATATGTTATTTTGAATATTTTAAGTGTCAAAAATTCTGTGCTTTGAAGAACATAAGCTTTATCGCTGATGAACTTTGACTCTCTCTATTTCAGAAACCAATTGTCACCTCAAGATAAAAATTTGCAAGGATTCATACCTCATTATCCTCACTATAAGCGTTATAACGTTTGACGTTTGACGATTTACTTAAAAAATCGAGGGTCCTAAAACGGGCTAATTTTTGGGTCACTCTTTAGATTCTTGGATATCACGCTAGAAGACATGAGATTCGATGTCTCGAACTTGGCACAAACTTCAAAAATATTCAGGATATTTGAAACATAATCTTTCTCGGTGATTAATTTCTCAATTTCACGATGTAAACTGACAAGTTCGATAATATTAGGTCAATCGGAAAGTTCCGTCCGTTTTCTTGCAAAACGTATGGCTTTATTTAAAAAACAAAATGAAAAAGTACATCAATCAAAGTATTGTCCATCGTTAGCGATGACTTTTTTCCATCTTTCGGTCAGCAAGCGAATTCCGCGGCGAAAGAATGACTTATCTTTGAATGCTATCCAGTCAGAGATCCATTTCTTGACGTCTTTATAAGAAGTGAAGCATTCGTCAGCAAGTGCGTGTGCCATCGACCGAAACAAACGGTAGTCGGAAGGGGCACAGTCTGGTGAATAAGCCGCATGGGGTAACACTTCCTAGCGAAGTGCTCTAACGTTTTCTTGACAGATTTTGTGACGTGGGCCGAGCGTTGTCATGAAGCAAAATCACTTTATGCTGTCCCGTTTCATATTCTAGTCGTTTTTCGTACAATGCTCGTCTCAAATGATCATTTGTTCTCTGTAGAGATCCCCTGTGACTGTTTGATCACTTTCCAACAGCTCATGGTACAGCACACCCTTCTGATCCCACCAAATACAGAGCATTGCCTTCTTTCCGTAGATATTCCGCTTTGGCGTCGATGTTGAGGGTTGGCCGGGATCGCAAATAGTTTTTCGACGTTTGGGGTTGTCAAAATAAATCCATTTTTCATCCCCAGTGATGATACGATATAAAAACCCCTTTCTTTGTTGCCTAGCAAGCAGAATTTCGCAGCTAGTTTTTCGCCTTTCAATGTCTCTTGGCTTCAGTTCATATGGGACGCATTTTCCTTCCTTGTAAACTTTTCCTAAGGCTTTTAAACGATCGGAATTGACAGATTGAGCACAATTTAATGCTTATGCAAGTTGCTTTTGCCTTTGACATGGATCTTTGTCCACTAATGCCTGCAGCCTGCAATTCTTCGTCTTCGAATACTCTTAGCCGTCCAGAACGCTCTTTGTTCTCTACATTAAAATCACCATTTTTTAAATGTCGAAACCATTCTCTGCATGTTTTATCGGAAGAAGCATTATCACCATAAACTTCTACAAGCAGTCGATGAGCTTCAGCTACAGTTTCCTTCCAATTGAAGCAAAAGATTAACACTTCGCGTAAATGACGCTTATTTGGCTCAAATTTCGACATTTTCGATGCAGTAAAAAACTTAAGATCACTTTCGTGACGAGTTAGTATTCGACTTAATAGCTTCACGTAACATGCGGACCATAAATCCGACGATATCTTAATAACGAGATTGTTTCTAATTAATTCTACTGACGCTACTGACACTATTAAGGATATTGATAGTCTATTACACTTTGTTTCGCAAATCTTAAGTCTCAAACGCGAAAAGGAATATCGCTATACTATTCGAGTTACTATTTCTAGTGTCACCGATAATTATCGCCTTCGAATAGATAGAACGAAGTGGGTCATCCGAAAATATCCGCATCTAAAGCTATCCGATAACACGCGCTAGATTTTTATTCGTTCTGGGAATGATTTTATTTCTTCTTGGAGAGAAGAATACCCGTCTTCACATGAGTAAGCAGTGACAAAATATTTTTTTCCTAATCCCTCGACAACGTTGCAATCGTGCGGCTTAATTATATAAGGATACGCGTATGACGTTAAACAATGAAAAGTTGCGATAAATAATTTTTACATGATTGGTTCGTAAATCCTAAGAAAGAAAGAAAGAGAGACATTTTCGCGTGTTCGCACAATTACAGAATGAAACCGGCCATGCCGCATTATGAGCGAAATTAATTAGTATTGATTATTCGATACCGTTGAGCGTGTATGTGACGTTGCTATTTTATTCATTTATCAAACGGACACGGCAAAGAAAGAACGAGAGAGAGAGAGAGAGAAAGGATTAGCAATCTGCGTGCAAAATAACTAAATGTACGTCAATCAATAATGCGAACAACTGGATGAATATACTTATCAATTAATAAATAGCAACTAGTTGGAGCAGAATGCGACCGGAAATCCCCTGCGTGATATCACAATGAGATAATTCGCGGATTCTTCTCGTTTACAATAATTTGGAGCGCGGCTTTCCCGCGATCATTTCTCACGCCGATTACTGAATAATTAATTCATAAATGTAGTTCTTTCAAAACACACGCGCGCGTTCGTATATATATTCACACATGTATAATAAATCCAATATCGCTCCTTTTTTACATTATCGATTTGATCGTATTGATCGCGAATGCGACTTATTTGATTGCTCGCATTAATGGGAATTGCTATAGAATTTCGATAAGTCGAAGCTTTCGCGCTCTATAAATAGAATATAGCGCGTAGAAACGAGAATTTTTCACCGATCCGTCGCATCAATCCGCCATTCGCGAACGAGAAAATCGAGAAGTCGATTTCGCGTTTCGAAATATCTAACATTAAAATCTGAATCTCAGTAAGAATTATGTGATTCTCGGCGGAGAGAGAGAGAAGCTCGGCGTATGCGTACGATAGTGCATTGAACTTTTCTCCCTGAGAAAATTCCATGTACCTGCTCCGATATACTTTTTCGATCAAAGTATTGATTTTCCGCCAAGTCTTCCGAGGAGTTCCAGCAGCCTAACCGTCTTCGATCACCGTCTTTCACGAAAACAAAGTCAGGATCTTCTCGGAAAGATCGAGTATTCACGGTGACGGCGCGATCGGGGATGACGGCTCGTTGTGTTGTTTCTCTATTCGTTATTTGCATTTTTAAATCAACAGGAGGGCGGACTGGCCGAACGTTAGAGTGAGACGCGGTGTACTTAATACGTGCATTATTAATCGGCGCCTATATGAGGTATTCTGAAGATTCGCGGACATACGGGCCTAGGAGACCTTACATAGCTTGCCGTAACATTGCGAGGCGCACGTCACCCACAGGGTGGCTTCTACGAAGGTTGTGTGTGTGTACGCTACATTACTCGAGTGTGACATCGTCACGCACTGTTCAGTCGAATCGAACGTCCAGCTTAAATACGGGCCATCAAAATGTTGGCAACTTCGGTTTGAGTTTTCCAATCAAAGTCCGTAATCATCCGAAACGGAACGTCTTATCCGCGAGTAGTCTTGACCGAGATATTAGATGTGGATAATAATATCTAATAACCATAATTTTCTTGTAATAATAAAATAGTCACGAAAAATTGACTACGGGCATACGAAAGATAGGGCAAGACAATCCGGCCAAGAGAAGCCATTGTAAAGCGATGTGAAGAAAAACAGAAATGTATGAAAAGGGAAGAATTTTCGTGATAGAAATTTGAAAACAGATCGCAAATGCGAGAGCCGGGTCATGTTTGCACCGAGAGTACTTCAGCTACGGCGACTTTCAGATATGGCGACAGTACAGTTAATATTCTGCGTTAGGTTACGTCCGAAATTCCCACCATCGGCTGCGATGTCTACGTCCGATAGATAACGTATTCGTGAGCAAAATTACCCCCATTATCCCCATTGTCATACTCAAATTAATATGATAATCCGCGGCGTAGCCCGATATCTAAGTAATCGTCTAGAATCGACGAAGAGGCCAACTTTAAATTGCAAGAGAGACATATTCGAACCGAATGAAGTGAGTCGAGCGTGCGCGCGTCATAATACACGAAATCGGTGAATTCAAATTCTCCCGATTCCAAACGGTCACGCGAAGCTGATGCTTGCATCACGACTGTAGCGTAAGAACATAATCATTTTCGTGCACCTACAACGTCGGCCTCGAAATTGCCGGAAATAAAGTCGATTCTTTTGTCATGTTATCTTCAAAAAAATGTCGAGACAAATGTTCTCACCTGATGAAAGTAGAGTCGACGGCGGGACTGGAGGGTCTTGGCGAGGAGCTCGCGGTAGATGCTGTGTTGGTTTCCTCCACATCCATCATCGTTCATGCCGACCAGCAGCACCACCACCAGTAGCAACACTACCACCTCTTCCACCGCTGCGATATCCGATCCCGCGAGGGCAGGAGGGCTGATAACGACAATAACGACGACGACGAACACCGCGACCACGATGCAATGGTCACGACGATAACGATGATTTTCGAGCTCCACCACCGACGAGGGATCACCACCGGCGTTCGACGTATAAGCAGTTAGTTTCCGCGCACGGGAGGGGGGCAAAAACCATAGAATCGAAGGAGCGCGAGAGGGTTGAGGGTTGATTTTACGCCCGTCATCCGCGAGCGCGGGCTTGCGGGTAACAACTGACGAACGACAGCACCCCCACTGCCCCCTACGGCACGACGTGGCGCGCCGCGACGCTTGGTGAACCTGCGCCACCGGCCGACACCTGCCGCCGCGCAGGTACTTGGTGTCGCGCAAGCGTCGATTGCCACTATCCGAAATCGAACGAGAAGTCACGCGGAAAGCATAAGCAACTTCATAGCGAAAACCTTGAAACGGAATGTCGAGTCCTTCGCAATAAAATAATTAGAATCCTTTCAATCAAAGCGCGGTGACTATGTAAAATTATTATTATTATATGAAAGACCATTGTGATTAGATACTTTATCACTTCATTAAAATTGCAATAAGTGTTGATACGTGTAGTTGAAACGTACATGCGTATTAAGAGATTTAACAATTTTTACTATTTTTTCCAACAATGCTTGTTTATTTTTAATTTCCTTATTATATGTAAGACTTGAAAAGTTTTCATTATATTCTAAATACTTAGTTATCTTTATGAGACATGTGATATCTAACGAATGTTTCTCCTACTAGTAATGGAAATATTAAAGTAGCCTCTGCATACACCTGAAATAGAAAAGCGCTATGTCATCTGAGATCTCGACGAGAACTCGATAATATATAGTGAATTCGGTATTAATAGGCAATATCGTTACCTTGACAGGATTAGCATTCTTTCGAATTTTTCCCCAAGAAATCGCTTCATCGGGCCGAGCACCGCTATCGCTACCGTCAAATTCCGAAGAAGTATTCAAAAAAACAGCAAAGTCAGCACCATTTCTCTGTAATAAAGTGTCATTATTACTCAATCTATGTATACATCCAGGAATAATACATCAAGTAAAACAATTTTACCATAAGATTAGCATTACAGATATGATGCTTTATAACACCACCTCCAATAATTACCATACCACTTGTCACAGCTTTCAGAGATATGGTGTTTAATCTTTTGAGATCTATAGAATTGGAAATATTATATCTTGCTATCTTATCAATTCAAACATATTGTGTTAATAAATAAGAGTTACATAAAATATCAACAGATATACCTGCAAGTATATCAACTACAAGTCCTGGATTTTTAAAAGAATGAAAGAACATCATATCACCGAAACTACCATCAGTCAATGCTGGACAAAATACTGGAATTTTATTTTTTGCAGCCCAATAGTAAATTGATTCTTCATTGTTGATCTCTTCACCAAGTTTAGTTATTATCTTAGATGGTGTCCACAATGTACCCTAATGTAAGGCCCAATTCAATCATGAAAATAACAATTACATTGTGACTCAAAATTATTTTTATCATTATTAGAATTTACACACCTGCTTTATTTGTTCAGCCAACATCGCATCTAATATCGGCATCACCCAATCTTCAAACAAGCAATAATTATCATTTGGCACTATCAAATTTCCAATTCTATTAAGCCCTTTTTCTCTGAGAAGTTTGCCATCATAACTAAATTTTCCAAGATATGTGGGTGCTAGACACTTTATCAAATCCTCTTCCACTCCACCCGCTGTAGTAACTATACAATCCACCTGGAAACATTTCCTTATAAAATCATATAATTCAAGATCTTTAATAAATAAAAAACATTAAATATATAAACCTAGCCTACAAGTTTATGCTGGACAAGAAATCTTATAGTTTCCCTGATGCCAGAAGATACCATATTTGACGTATAGCCTAAAAATATTGTACAACTATATTTTCTTTTTATAAATTCATCTTCTTCTAAACTGTCAATTTGATCTTCTATGAGAGGAATGTCCCGTTGATTCAACATTTGTTTTATTTCTTCTACAGCTAATCCAAAATTTGTAGCTTGAAAGCCGGAAAATCTCATAGCTTTCAATATTTCATGATAGTCAAGACCATTATTGAAATCATAACCTGTATGTATACATATATATATATATATAACTTATATCGTTAACAATAAAAATGATTAATGAGATATAAAAAAAGTACCTTTTACCGTAGATTCACTAGGTGTTATAGAGATACTATGAACTAGTACAGCATTCCGTGCTAATTCTTCTACACTGTTACATGAATTTTCCTTTGATGTGCTAGCCATGATACTAACAAGTTTGCTCTTTTCAACTGTATTGGAGTTGTAGTCAGTGGTTGCGTTCAGAAAACAAAGCGCTCACTGAGCGCTTAGTAACTATTGGTCCTTATTGTTAGATTCTTACATTCAGACCAATAACGCTGACGAATTACTCAACCGTTGTATAATCGTTGTGTTTTCTGAACGCAACCAATCTCTCATTTCCACAATTCGTGTACTTCAATGCAAATGCACATGCGTGCATTCGTTGAACCAGCATAACCTAACCTGATCAATTTCGTTAGTTTAACCAGTTTAACCTAATTTAAATATCAGTTAAATACGTCATTTATTGGTTCATATAAAAAGTGATAAAAGAAGGAAACAAAAATAATTCAATCCTACTATTTATGTGGAAGAAAAGCAATAGGCTGAAAATATTTCTTTACACAGGTAAATTTATTGACGAGTAATGAGATAAGTATACAATTGCTCACAATAAAAATAGAAAATGTGACTTAAGTTACTTTTATAATCACCGGCACATATTTGGAATTCAATTTTTCTTTTATTTACACATTTTTTTTCTTGTCATAATATTAATCTTATTAAACACAGTTTTTTAAATTAGCCTCTACGCATGCCGGCGCATGCGCATAACGTCCAAAGTACATCTATCCAAGGCTGCGTTCCGATATTCACTACCAGCACTGAAATTCTATAGTATACGTGACATAAACTACATATTTTCAGTATTGGCAGTGAATTTCGGAACGCAGCCCTAGGCTGCATTCGGAAACGTCACTCGAATACTCTCTTTCTTTATCTCATTTTTATGTTTCTCTCACACCAACGCAGCAGATGTACGAGTGACATTTCCGAACGCAGCATTTTTACATATCAATGGCTGCGTTCAGAAAACACAACGGTTACACAACGGTTGAGTAATTCGTCAACGTTATTGGTCTGAATGTAAGGATCTAACAGTAAGGACCAATAGTTACTAAGCGCTCAGTGAGCACTTTGTTTTCTGAACGCAACCTTTGTTCTACTGAACGCGGCCATTATTCTTGAAAATTATCGCATACGATATTTCATACGATTTCATGAATGTCACTAGATATCACGATTCTCAGCCAATTGCTCTATTGATGAAATATGGTATACAATATTTTTCATAAATTTTCGAAAATAAAGGCCTCGAGCCAACAAACTTTCCTCCGTTTGTCCGTTGATGGTTGTCTTTTTGATTTTCTTCTTTGCGCTCTCGCTTCGCACGCTCGCTTCGCTCTCTATCTGCTTTTTATCCTGAACGTCTGTCGCCATCTTACGCATACTCTTACAATATTTTTTCATGGCAAACAAAACTGAGGTAAATATTTGAGTTGCTTGAGGATTATTATAGTTTATAACTATACATTTGACTGTTGAATTGCGTAATATGTAAATTATTTTGGCCTTATATTAAAATATATTTTTAATTATTACCTGATAATAATCATATTTGATTATAGACTACATTCGGCGATCTTGAAATGGATGAACGTTATAAGAAGCTAGAACGCTGTTTGAAATTAGCTTTGCTAAAGAAGAATGTACATAATAATATCGAGCAATCTATATCAACCTGGTCTAATATATCGAGCATTAATGCAAATACCATGGATTCTAGTTGTGTAACTCCATCCCTGCAACTTTTGGGCATTAAGAATGAGGTTATAGCCTCTAGTAATAATCTAAAAAGTATACTTCCAAAAGAACAAGCTTGTAATACTAACAGAAGAAAGATAGCTACTTCTAGTATAAAATCAAGCAAGAACATTAAACAGGATAATATTGATCAATGCATAATGCCACCTCCAACAGTAAACAAATTATATCATGCTTCAAAGAAAATACAGAATAGGCCTTGTACATTATCAGAACGCAACAAATCTATATCAATGCCATCCAACAATTCAATTGAGTCTTTTGAGATAAATAATGTTCCATTTAAAAATTCAAATACTGATACTAGAAGCTGCATATCTGCTAACATATGTAGTGACAAAGAACACCTGCATTCTTCCATTGTACCAGAAACAGCTGATGATTTGCCAAAGCTTGAGAGAATATTTTCAAAATGGAAAGTTATGTTAAATGACCAATATCAGTTAATAATCAAAGGAACATTAGAATGGTAAGTAGAACATAATTATATAGCATGATTAATATTGATATTAATATCTTTCTAAACATTACATGTAACAGTCATTGTTTTATTAACAGCGGCAAAGTTGCACGGAGTAAATCAGTTATAAGAAGATATTCTACTACATGCATTGAATCCATTTTCAAACACAAATATCATCTTCAAGGAAATCTTACTGATGACAGAAATGGTAACTATTTGCATAAAATTTATTCTTTGCTCATATATCTTACTTCATACTTGATTTAAATATTAATCATTTGTATTTGCACAGAATTACCAGCTTATATTCGTGGAAAATTTCACAATGGTTTTCCTGATGATTGGGAGAATGTTTATCAAATATGGAGGACATTTGTCAGTCAAGGATGTCCAATAACATTTCGTTGGCCAACACCTATCACTGATAGCGACGACGATTTAAAAAGCGAAGTGACAGATCAAACATATATATGCAGGAATAATACTCCGATGAAATCTTATAAAATGATTGAATCCACTGCGCAAGTAATTCAATCGAAAACTTTGCACAATAGATCGTCAGAGAATATAGAGAAATATAATTGTACACGTAATACTCAAAGTCACGAAAAGTACACGTTCATAAAGCCTTCTGTTCCTATGAATACACAAGCAAGCAGTGCAGATATTGAGAAAAACGAACAAAATATTGAAACAGACATAAATCAACTATTCAGTCCCGTCAAGAAGACAAATAAATTGAAAGACATTCTCCAGGAGGATAAGCTGAATATCATTATTAACAACTTGGCGGATAGGAATTGTTCTCCGAAATATATTGACAAGATCATTGAGATGTTCGATTGCTTAGATTATGTAATGTCTTACAGAACAGAAACTGAACGTAGTTACAACGAAAGTTATGAAATACCCAAATCGGAAGCGATTCCGCTACAACAGATACTCGTGTGCAATAAGGGTAATTGTATGAATGACAATGAACTTGAGAAACGAGCAGAACTGAAAAGCCATTCCACCGATCTAGGATATGGAAGTATAAAGAACAATACCTATCCTAGCCAGTTAAACTTGAATATGAAAGACAGCGTCGAGGCAGAATACGATAAACATGAAGACTCCGATCAATCTGAAAGCGAAATTTATGCAGGCATACCGAAAATCTCGATCGAGCGCGTCCTACAAGCGAAAAAAGCGTCGAGAAAGTTACCGAAGCGTAAGGTAAGAAAGAAAACGAATCGATCGGATCAGCAGATACACGCGGTGAATGACCAGTGCGACGCGAATGTTAAACAGCAATTCGTTCACCTTGCAGTTCCTACGGCTAATTTCGAGAAGAAAAATCCATTTCCTGATGAATCCAGCATTAGCATCACGAATAAAGAAATGGAAATGGAAAACATAAGAACACATCGCGAAGCAGCGAACGTTGTTGAAGAATCGCCGAAAGCGACTTTATACAGCCATCAGTTACTGAGAACGGATTTTAACGTTCGCACAGGGAAGACGGTTGATCCTACAACGCGTGTTCAATGTAATTTACACGAACGGCTGCACGGTTTGTTTCAGCCACAAAGAATTCAGCCGAACTTTCTTACAAAGCAACAAAAATCGCGTGGAATGGAAGAAGAGCAGTTGCTGCTTACGGACGTCGATTACGCAACCAATTGCAACGTCGAAAAAAACATCGCGGCTAATAACAAATCGGCCGGAGTAGAAATTCATGCTGATTTGTGCCAAGATGATGTGACGATTCTCAGTGACGAGAGTGACAACGATTTCCCCGAGAAACTTTATGTCTCGCGAGAATCGCATAAGAAATTCATCGAACTACCGAAAAGCGAGACTGCAGTTAACAAGTCCAAACCTATCGTAGTCTCGTCGATACCGGTGAATTTGAATTTAAAAATAACTAAAGCAGATGTGCACAGATCTGCAAAGTCGCATGACTCGGATATAAGCATCACAGACAACGAAGACAAGAAAAAATCCACGATTACCCGGCCGACAGAAAAAACTCGCAAGGTCTCACCGAAAAAGTCCATCACCGCGAAACCTGTGATTGTCGCGAACAAATCGCCTTCCAAGGCAACAACCACTGACAGCATGAAAGAAGATCATGCAACGTCAAATACTGATATTAAGAATGAAGCTCACAATATGAATCCTGCTGATGCGGTTATACCTACAACGACTACAACCAGACGACCCAAGAAGCATGAAAATAATCCTAAAGTATTGACCGCGTGGGCGCCGAAAGTAGTGTGTCATTTCGCTTCCAAGAATAAATTAGGTTTGAGTTTTCAAGGAAAACTGCTCAAGTAAATGCTCTTGCTATGTTAAAAGTTATATAACCAATAAACAGCTATCTACATACAGGGTATCCCAGAACAATTTTACAGCTCGTGGAGACAGGAACATAAAAATCCCAATGCGACTCAGTCGATCCAGCAACTATCGATGTCATGCAGCAAGACGTAGGAGCGGCGAGATAAAACACGAATAGCGGCGCGTTGTCCTTCCCCTCGCCGGTTAGGCGACAGTTGCTAAATTGACTGGACCACGCTGTGGCCCGAGAGGCTGCAACGCTTCTCTAGTCATCTATCTTGGTACGCGTCCACTCCTCCCAGATTTTTGTCATTAATAACTCGGTAACTATTGCAAATATCGCAAAACAATATGGGACTTTTATGTTTGTTTCAACCCGCTCTATGTCTCCACGAACTTTGTAAAAATTGTCCTGGAACACCCTGTATATTACATATAACATTAATATCGATGTATCATCTTTGTAATATAAGTACCACAAGATAATGTTACGTTTTTTCTTCTTTCTTTAGCGAAGTTGGCTACGTCGTGCATAGGAACTTCACAACGGATATTGTGCTCAGGCGATTGTCACCAACATTGATTGAAACGGTGAATTACGAACTCTATCAGCTTCTTGGACCGGTGAACGAGAATAAACATGGTACAGATATCGCCCAATAATATTCGGCATATTAAATCTACCGATTAATAATAATAATCTTACTTTGTCACATTTAGTTATTTCCAAGGAACTCTTGAAACAATGTCGTAATGGATGCCCTGCGAAAATCGAACAATTTTGCCTAATGTGGAAGTCATTGCAACAGGGTGAGTGCGACAGTTTCTTGAGATTGTCTTCATATTGTATTTTTATTGTGCTTTTTATTCTATTTGTCGTGCTTCATGCAAAGTAGAAGAAGTCGAAAAAAAGTCTCACGATTCTACAATGGACTCACTGAGTATATCCATTAGTTCAAGAGGTCGTAGGATCTTGCCACCACTGTGTTACTGGACAGGTGTGTGATAGAATGAAAAGTTATAAGTATGTTTTAAAATATTAAATAAAATATAATATCCTTTATATGTATATACAGCGTTCCATAATTCGCTCCGAGGAATTTGTGGAGAGAGAATTAAGACAAACATAAAAGTCCCATACTACTGTTTTGCGATATTCGTAATAACTATCAAGTTATTAATTATAAAAGTCTAATGTATGTGAGTGCGCAGCTAGATGCTACTGGAGAAGCATTACAACTGCTTGAGCCATAGCGCGACTCAGCAATTATTATCGATCCAGCAATTATTGCCAGCGTTCGGTGAAGGGAAAGGCGATGCGTCGCTACTTATGTATCATCTCGCCGTTTCTATGTTTCGCCATGTGCGCTGGCAATAGTTGCTAGATCGACTGAGCCACATTATGGTCGGAACGGCTAATATGCTTCCAATGCCATCTCGGCACGCGCTCATTCGTCATCAAATTTCTATAATTAATAGTTTGATAATTATTGCGAATATTGCAAAACAGTATTTGGCTTTTTCTTTATCTCAATTAACTCTATGCCTCCATTAGCTATAACCACATGAGTTACCAACCTCGATAATTTTTCAACGAAGCATTTTCAGCAAAAATGTTTCGGACAAAAGTTATATGATTTCAAAGGGGACATAAAACAACTATACTATTTGGTTTACAAATGGCACCACTTTCGAGATATTCACTGATCATTACTTGTCTTAAATGGAAATCCCAATTTTTTATTACACCGTCTTTTTCTACTAATTAATTTAAACAACTTTTGTCTGAAACATTTTTTGATTTGTCTTATTTGCCTAATTTTTGAGATATTTAAGGAAAACTTGATAACTTTTCCAATATTTAACTCGCGATATCTCGCTATTTGTCGGAAGAAAAAGTGGTAGACTTTTTTGCTCTACTTGGTCTCAAGAATATATTGTTACAATAGCGCCCTGACTTTTGTTAATTTGATAATTTTGAAATTTCCAAAAGTTAGGGCGTTATAATAATATATTCTCGAGATTAAATAGAGCAGGAAAGTCTAGTACCACTTTTTCTTCCGACAAATAGTTAGCGAGATATCGTGAGTTAAATATCGAAAATGTTATCAAGTTTTCTTTAAATATCTAAAAAAAATATTAGATAAATAAAAAATGTTTCAGACAAAAGTTGTTTAAATTAATTGGTAGAAAAAGCCAGTGTAATGAAAAATTGGGGTTTCCATTTAAGAAAAATAATGATCAGTGAATATCTCGAAAGTGGTGCTATTTTTAAACAAAATAATATAGTTGTTTTATGTCCCACTTGAAATCATACTTAAAATCACTTGAAACTTTTGTCTGAAACATTTTTGCTGAAAATGCTTTGTTAAAGAATTATCGAGATGCGTTTTTTTTTAATGGGACACCCTGTATGTGTGTGCGTATGCGTGCCTGCATGCATACTTGCACATATATTTTTTTTATGTTAACATGAAATGAAGAACAGACAAAACTACGTTCTCACTGTTATTTTTTTTTACACAGGCGAACGAATAACTTTGAAAGACAACACTCCAATCTATAACTTAGGCCATTCACAAGAATCAACTTCGCTGAATGAGAGCCCGAGGAAGGTAATGCTAAGTGAACATGTCATAATAGTTGTGTACATTCTTTAAACATACATATATTTTACGTTGTTGAATATAGAACATCAAAAAGAATAAGGAGCAACAAGCAAATTCAGGAAACGTATCAAGGAAAAATAGTGTGGCTAAACAGTTACACAAAACAAATAAGGTTTCCAGTATGAATAAAAATCAGGTGAGCTCTTATAACATCCCTAAGAAACATAGATCAACGAAAAGGGGTTTTTATCGAGTTTCTTCCAATTAGACAATCGTTATCGACAATCGTTATCTCTCCGCTAAATCATCTAAAGATAAAGCTACGAGTAACGCGAGAAAATCTAAAAAATCTATAGCCCATGGGAAACAAAGCACAGCAAAACGATTGACATGCTCATCAAGCGATGCTGAATACGAAGAAGAACAGGTGTCTCCGCGTAAGGTAACGTTAAAATTAATTTGAGAGAAAAATTTAATATTGATCAAAATAAAAAAGAAACAATCCTTATCGTATACTTTTGAAAGAAATTATGCTTAATGATTTTTTGTTGCGCAGCGCTTACGTAGCTCTCGATCAAACACGAATGGAGATGCAAAAGTACAACAATCGAGATACAGTATGAGAAAACGACAGAAGATGGAGGGATCCTTCAGCAGAGAATCGTGCGACGATACTAATAAGTCCAAGTAGCATCCATTTTTTTATTTAATGTATGTTCCTCTTTCTAGCACGCATGAGTGTAACTCTCGACATTGTGATCTGTTTATCTTATCTAGGCACAACATAGCGCATTGCTCACCAACAAAGAAACCTTACGAGCAATGTATGGTCTATGCTTATCATCAAGGTATTCCGCAAGAGGACTTCTTATCGGAGAATCAGGCTTCTCCTATATAATGCGCAGCAATATAATTATTTGATAAATATATTTTTGCAAATGATATTCATAACAAATGTGGATTAAAAAAAAATATTTTTTCTACGTATTTGTCGGTTCTGAAGTTATTTATATATTATTCCTCTAAGGTATTACACATATATTGTTTATATTTTGTGAATGTACAAGTGATGTGTCAATATTCCCCCCTTTATTATTTTTTAGTAAAAATACTTATGTAAATAATTGTAAAACAGGGAATAAAGAGGCAGAATATTTGAAGCACAAGCTTCGGATATATTACTTTCGTTCGTTTAATATTACCATTTAACAATTGTATAAAGTATGTAAGAAATATCGGCTGCTCTCTACAAGTCAACGACATATAAGAAACAAACGTCGTGCATATTCAAATAAAAGTTTCATTTAGTATAATTATAAAATAGTTTTCTTCACTTTTGCATACTTTATACAAGAAAATATACTTACTAAATGAAACATTAAGTGCTAGATACTAGATATCTAGCGGTTCCTGGCAAGCGCAACATTTCCTCGAATAGTTGTATATTGTAAGATTTTATACTTATATATAGAGAGAGTATTCACTATAAATATACATAATGTATTTATATCTCAAAGATACGATATTTTTGCTGTTGGCATGACGGAAAGTTCAAGTAATCGGTTTTTCCTGGCTGTATTATACAAATATATGTATCTGTGACAGTAAAATACAAAAAAGTTGCTGCTGCATGCATTAAACATGCCATTAGTATCGACATAAACGCATTCCAGGAGTTTGATACTGTCAACACGTCGATAGGTTGTTCTTAGGCGTCTTAAAAGAATCCTAAAAATCCACCGCTGCGTGTAACTTGTACCTATTTAGGGCCGCATTTACCAAATTGCAGTTAACTGGTCGTTTTAGTACCATTTTAGTAACCTCGCAGAATTCTAACTGAAACCGTTGTGAGAAGTAATAGAAAATGAGGAACCAAGCAGCAAGTTGAAGTCTTGTAAGGTTACTAAAAACAGTTAATTGCAACTTAGTAAAGATTTAATACGAAATATAAACATATACTTTATAAGATATATACGTAAAATAAATAAATAAATCACGATTAATGTGATCGCGTTAGTTACATTGTAGGTATACAGCGCCATTGATCTCAATATTTCATTCCTTTCTTGATATAATATAAACAAAAATTTCGTGCGCATAGATGTAGAGCTTGTACAGGTCTACGCGTGTCGCAAATCGCGTTTTATCAAGTAGCATTTATAACGACGCATGCATAATCTTTCATATCTTTCGTTCATGGAGATGACGCAGATGCTTGTTGTCGATACGCGTTTGATATGAGGTAACTAATATCTTGTAGTGGGCTATATATATGTATATATATATTTATATAGATACAACGACCCTGTTAGCTTTCGTCATATAAAGGAGTGCCGTCCCCGCTTAGAGACATGCTCCGCGGACTAGAGTTTGTATGTGGAGTACCTCGCGGAGATTTGTATGACGGAGTTCGCGTGGAAGAAGGTCTACTTCTGCCAGAGGGCGTCGTCCTGCCGGCCGACTCGTCGTAATTGCGCGGAGTTTTTCTAGATTCCTCGTATCTCGGCGTCGACCCACTGGAAAAAAAAACGTTTAAATTATATTAACACTGAACTGAATGTAAGCTTTGGTATCACTTTGTGTACTTACGATACACGAGGACCACTCTTTAGTCGAGCCCAGGCCTCAGCAGCTTTTCTCCAATCGGTGGGATCGCCAGATGGAGTAGATAAGGGTGGCGTAGGTCTATGCGATTGAGCGGATCTGTGATGACCAGGAGTCATCGATGGCGGGGGCGGGTGAACGAAGGGCCCCTGGTGATGGCTCGGAGTCTGTTGACCATATCTCGGAGTCGGCTGACCGTGATGCGGAGTATGATGCGGCGTCTGATAAGGCGTCATGAATGGAGTTTGTCCGGACGGCGTATACGGTGTGTTCGGATAAGTATGCACTCCGCCATAACCAGCAGCGCCAGTTGCACCTGGAGTGTGTGGTGGATAATGGTGCGGTGTCTGATTCGCCACTTGCGACAAAGAATGCAACATATGATGCGGAAGATTCTGTGCGACTCTCTGTATCGCCTCTTGATTCATTCCTGAAACGAAAACGTTGATCTCGCGATAACGGTCGACAGAAGCTTCGAGGAGAACATTAATTAACCAGATTAAAAGTGTAACACTGTTAACCCTTTGTGGCGCAGGCGAACACCCAGAGACCCACTTATATCAGTCAGTTTTTTATATTTTATGAGCAGTTTTAATGATCGATTTCTTAGCAATTATATTTTCTGGTTTCTTAAGACCTCAACTAGTGTAAAATAATTGTGATTACTTATAAATTCTTGAAATTTATTATTGTTAATAGTAAATAAGTAAACACAATAAAATGTTTTTAAGAATAAATATATGGCAAGACGAAGAATTTTTTTTATCTGGGAAGAACTATTTTTATCTGGGAATTGATACGCAGGGATTTTTTTGGGACATTGATTACGAATCCGTTGAATCAGATTTAAAAAATTTTAAATGGCGGATCCAATATGGCAGACATAAAATTAAAAATTCAACCAATTTCCATGAAACTAGGTATCTAGGGTTTTCTTGGGTTGCTGATTACGAATCATCATCAAATTCTCGAAGTTCAAGATGACCAATTCAATATGTCGGACGGAAAACTTAGAAAAAACTTCAATTTCTAGAAAAATTGATATTGAAGGGTTTTTGGGTCGCTAATTATGAATCCATCATCAGATTTTCAAAATTTACGATGGCTGATTAAATACAACGAAGCGAGAATTTTAAAAATCCAAATTTCTACGCCTAATTTTGGATTTCGAAAATCTGACAACGGATTTGTAATCAGCGACATTAAAAACCTCTAGATACCTAGTTTCACGGAAATTGGTTGAATTTTGAATTTTACGTCCGCCATATTAGATTCGCCATTTTGAATTTCAAAAATCTGACAACGGATTCGTAATCAGCGACCTTGAAAACCCCTGGATACAAAGTTTTATAGAAATCGGTTAAAAGGAAAAATTCGTGGCTCAAAGGGTTAATTCATAGCAATAACTAATTCATGAAGTTGGAGGACTCACCACTGACAGCTCCTGGTGTTGTATAAGGTGTTCTGGAAGTCATTGCACCACGCGGCGTGCTAGGAGTGGATTGTCCAGGAAGCGGATCTCTAAAATGTTCTTTAAACCAGCGGAACAAATCATTTACTCTGCCAAACATCTGTGCTCTGAATCTGAAGCCCTCGGGCGTCACCGTGATGAATTCGTGGCGACAACGGGTTCGCGGCAAGTAAGAGAGCAAGAATTTGCCGGGGTAATTCTGCGAGAATACGAGATAATTTTATTTCAACAACATAGATTTTGCTTCAACCTTCATAATTCATAATAATTTCATAATTGATAATGACCTTCATAATGATTTTACTTCAACCTTCATAAAAAGTACAAATGCTTACCTTAGCCGCTGATATTATATAAGGGATACTGTTGGGATTCTCCTTCCTCTGTTCCTTCAATACCTCTTCTGCCTTGTCCTTGATCCCTTCCACCGTTGGCTTGTAATATTTGAAGTCCAACAATTCGGAAACGTAAGCGGCCATGGGATTCACATGTCGCGCGATAATCTCGTCCAGATCTTCGAACTCTTCATTACCGATCCATAGGCTCTGCCCCAATGAGAAGGCGTTCTCCTTACCTTCCTCTCGCACGTCGATGTGCTGATAGATCTCATCGGTGACTTTCCATGTGACTGTCAGGTGATCGGAACCTTTGCTGCTCGGTCTTACTATCGCCTCACCTTGCTTCATTGTTTGCATCAGCTTCACGGACTCGATGAAACTAATGTTGTGGAAAGATGGATGGACGATGACACGCTTCACATAAATCTGTCTTTGTTTCGCCTTCTTTGCATCTTCTTCTACTTTCATATCCTTTTGTTCGGCCTCGGTGTCGTAATACGGATCTCGTTGCGGTCTGCAAATACATATTTAATTTATACTAATCGGTTTGCGTAAAGTCCATTCAATTATTTAATCCATATTACATCAACAATTGAAACAGAATAGTGGCAAAAATACCTAAAATGATTCAGTAACATTTACAAATTTGTTACATCGTTAATGTAATCACAAAAGCGGTTTAGTTAACTCATCGTTCTATAACTATATAACCTACAGGGTGAGGAAAAAAGATGGAAACCTTTAAAAATCTCAAAAGATATAAGTTTTACAGAAAAGTGTTTCAGACAAAAGTTACAAGGCTCAAAATGATGTATTTACTGATCAATTTGACCTTGAGTGGCGTTGCCAAGATCAGCTTATTTTTTTTTAACAAAAACCCCCATTTTTTATTATATCATCTTTTTCTATCGATTAATTTGAATAATTTTTGTTTGAAACATTTTTTATTTACCTAATACGTTTTGAGATATTTAAGGAAAATTTGATGACTTTTTCAATACTTAACTTTACTTACAATATCTCACCAACTATTTGTCGGAAGAAAGAATGTTATTAGACTTTTTTATTTTACTTGGTCTCAAGAATATATTGTTACAACAGCATCCTGCTGTTTTGTTAATTTGACTTTTTTCTTTTGTTAATTTGATGATTTTGAAATTTCCAAAAGTCAATAAATTAACAAAAGGGAACTATTGTAATAATATGTTCTTGAGACCAAATAGAGTGAAAAAATCTAATAGCATTTTTTCTTCCGACAAATAGTTGGCGAGATATCGTAAGTTAAGTATTGAAAAAGTCATCAAGTTTTCATTAAATATCTCAAAACATATTAGGTAAATAAAAAAATGTTTCAAACAAAAGTTATTCAAATTAATCGATAGGAAAAGATGATACAATAAAAAATGGGAATTTTTGTTAAAAAAAAAAAAAAAAAAAAAAATAAGCTGACCTTGGCAACGCCACTCAAGGTCAAACTGATAAGATCGATAAATATATCATTTCGAGCCTTATAACTTTTGTCTGAAATACTTTTCTGTAAAACTTATATCTTTCGAAATTTTTAAGGGTTTTCATCTTTTTTCCTCATCCTGTATATTGTTCCATTTATCTATGTAATTGTTTTTGTATATTGTTCCATTTATCTATGTAATTCGTTTACCTCCAATCGTGATTCTTATCAGCAAGGTCACTGCTTTTGCTTGTACACTCAACACTGAAACGATCCACCTCGATCTTCACGATACGGCAATGGATGATTTGATCGATGCTAACTCTTTCTTCAGGATTCGCAACGTGTCTGTCGGATAAATTCTTGATATGAATATAACCGGATATGCCGTTGTCTAATCGCAGTCTCACGCCGGTTGCTTTCCCTGGGCAACCGCCGGCGTCAAAGTGATTCCACACTTCCGACAGCTCCGGGAAGTCGTTCTTCAAGCAGAACGGACACTGCCACAAACCTGTGTCCTCGTTTCTCACTGGATTCGCTTGATCCAACTGATCACCTTGCGGTTTTCGATGACTGATGCCGACTACAGTGGCCAACACTAGCTTACCGACGTAGAAAGTCTCGGGTGTCTCCTTGGTTAAAACATCAAACAATTTTTCCGGACTGGGTGACTGATATTGCACACGAAGATCCTTGTATCTGCTGTTCAACTCAGCCCGGATGTCATAGAGAGTGACGCACTTGTTGCCGAAGCCTTGCCTCTCAAGTTCCTCGGCGAACGCGTCAAGATCCAAGTCCTTCAATCTTTCCGGAGACTCAAGTATCTCCTCTAGAGCACCGGCTGGATTAGCGTCCTCATCGTCATACTCAAGAGCGTCCACTGCCATTTTTCGAGCCCATTCGTACGTCTCGGGATGTACACGCGAACCGTCTAGCACTTCCACGTACGCTTCGGTGCTGTCGCCCAAACTATTAGTATCGATCTTGATAAAACCAGCACAGTTGATGAACACTTTTGGTCCCATGTGACAAGCAGTTACCAATTGTGTTCGGTTCTCCAATCTTTGATTGGTTTGCTTCAACATCTTGATCAAAGCTTGGCCCTTACGTGGGCCAAGACCGCACACGAATTGCACCAGATTGCCGCAGTATGCTTGTTGGACTGCTTTATTCACATCCACACCGACTTCGTTCACGCGATTGACAAATTCAAGGTAGAGATTTTCCAATAGCTCTTCCTTGGGCAATTGGTCTTGCAGAGTGTGATATTTGAGACAGAGGATCTCTTCGTCAGCCGTGCACAGCTGCGAAAACTCCACTAATGGATCTTGCACCCTTCTTGCCAATGAAATAGCCTCACGCAACAGCTGCGGATAGTCCCTGAACTCTGAGACACCCTTATTACTGTTGGAATAAATTTTCGCGAGCTCATTATCGCAAATTTCCACCTGGATGCTAGGGAACTGCTCGTCCTCAGTTAAGTGAGTGATACACTCTTTAATATCGGCTGCGATCATCATTGCTTCTCTAGATTCGCCGGACACCACCACAACATGAGGTTTCTTCGTAGCTATGAAATTTCTCAACGCCAGCAAATCCGCCTCCTTCATAGTCTTCTCGTCTTGGCGGTAACTGTTCTTGCGCTTCATCAAATTCGGCAAGCGCAAATAATCTGTGCATTCGCCATCAGCTGCGACCAAACAAGTGAAAGCAGCCTGAGAGTAATCGGGTACATAAGACAAACCCATGACGCGCAGACCCTTGCTAGTGTCCCATTCCTCGTCTTCCTCCTCAGGAAACTCGCAGCTGTACGGCGCAACCTTGATCCAGTTGTACATCTTGCGACAACAGGCGCGCATCACGCACTCCTTCGCCTCGGCGACCAGGTTGGTTCGCAATTCCTTCTTCAAGCTCGGTATGACCATGCGATTGAGCGCGATCTCGACACTACCGACACGCAGTGCGTTCCAGTCCTGCACATTCTTGCTGAATTCGTCTCGATAGTACAGCTGTTTCATCTCGTCAACATAGTTATTGCTGGTGTTGCCTTCGATACTGTCACTGAGGCTTATCGTGATGAGCTTGTCCTCATCGGCTATTACCAAATTCAGGAATTGCGCACCTACGAGATCGCGCACCGGCTTGTCTTTGAGATACTTCATGGAGTAGATCGGGTGGTTCTCATCGATTTCCTTAGTACCCTTCTTCGTCGGCGTTATGGAAATTTTCGCGCGTTCCATGTACATTTCGCGCACGCACTTGCGCACGAGCGGCTCGCGCGCTAGCTGGATCGCTACCATCAATTGCGCGGCCTTCAGTACCTCTTCAGGACTCTTGAATCGCGAGCTGCAGTGTTCGGCCGCTATAGTCATTGGCTCAGTCGGCTCCTGGTCCACCTCGTGACGTTGGTAGTTATCACGAAGATTCTCAGCGTAGTGTTCGGGCGTCAGACCAAATTTCTTCGCCAGACCGTCCAAGCCGGCTTTCCTGCAGATCGAATAAGGTCCACTTCTCACTGCCTGTTTCAACGTCTCGTCGACCTCTTCGTCCTCCTCAATCTCTGGTTCTTCCTCCGGTGGATCCTCACCGTTCTCCTCCGCCTCGGCGATCTGCTGTTTGCGCTTTTGAATTCTCGCCTCCCGCCGCGCTTCTTTCTCCTTCTTCCGCACAGTCTCTTGCATCTTCGGAATCTCGTGATTGTAGTACAACATAAAGTGATGATAAATGTCATTGAGCTCTTCACTCGTCTGCGCATTCTTCAATCTCTCGATATCGTCGTCTTTGATCACCCGCACATTGTCTGGCAGCGGCGCATCTGCATTCTTCATGATCTCGTCGAGCTGGTAGTTACGCATTTTCTCAAAGAGCTTGAGCAGGTTCTCTTTCCGCTGACGCAGTTGACACCATTTGGCGTCGTACTTGTATACCTTCCACAGATCGTTGATGTTCAGCTCGGGCAGCACGTATTCTTTCCGATAGAAGGATATGAAGGGAACCTCGAAATGTTGATTCCGCATAAAGTCCAGGGCTTTCTTGATCTTGGTGATAGTCTGCGGCCCTTTGCGAGCACGTTCCTTAGCTTCAGCGTTCAGATGGGCGTCCTGAATTGAGATCGTGGGCTTGCAAAACGCCTGTTTGTAGATCCATTCCGCTTCCTGCTCCAGTTCGTCAGAACCTTCTTGAACCGGCGTAACCGGTACCGATCGAAGTTGCATTCTTTCAGGTATATCTGTGTTACGTATCTGTAACAAAATGTCAAACCAAATGTAAGTATGGTAATTTAACAAACGATATAGATCATTATTAATATCTGGCGCATAGCTCTTGTTCGTACCTCGTTATCCATGTCGGTGAAGTGGCCACGCTTCAATTCACTTGGCTCGTAAATCTCAAAGATGCTCTTCCTTGTTGTTTTTTTCTTCAGCTGTTTCTTCGGACGTCGCGGCCGCTCTGCGTCAACCTCCTCATCCAAGTATTCATCCTCCTCCTCTTCTTCCTCCTCCTCGTAATCTTCCTCGCCATATTTACCAAATTCATCATAATCGAAATCAACACCAAAGATGTCTTGCGCTTCTTGCAAAGCCCTAGATGATTTTGTCATGTTAAATTATTTCTTTATTTGTGCAAATTATAAATAAATCAATGGATGTAAAATTTGTAACCAATTATGAAATAAAGAATATATTATATTACGTTTAAACAACGTATTATTGGGTACAACACGATTGATTTTAATTGTAGTTATAAATTGTATTTAATATTTAAGTTTTCTACATACGCGTCTGAAAATATTGGTTTCTTTTTCTTTCTTTTCTCAGCAATAGGTCTGCCATCATCATCGACAATAAAGTCATCTGCATCGGTATATTCGCCTTCGTCACTACCTTCTTCAAAGTTCTCCACTTCTGGTCTATGGCTTCGTTCGCTTCGTCTTTCATCTTCCTGTAAACAATATAAAAGTATACATTAGAATGTTATACTCACTGTGTTACTCTCACACAAATACAAATGCAGATATGTCATACTATACATACCGTTATATCTCTTTCCTGACGCAGGTATACATATATGATAAATGCAAACGTTATATTTATTTAAACACGATAAAAATTTACATATGAACTTATATAAAAAATAAAACAAGTTAATAAAATATTAAATAGGAATTAAATTATATTTTAATGGATCGTCGCATTTAAAAAAATCATCAGATTAATTTAGATAAGAAAAACCTAAGTTGATGCTAATAGAATTAAATTATATTTTAATGAATTGTCACATTTAAAAAAAATTATTGGATTAATTTAGATAGGAAAAATATAAGTTGGTGTTAGTACAACACACACTGACAAAATCACACTGCATTTTGTATATCTTCATAGTACTTACATCTCCAGAGCCTTCAAATAATTCATTGGCAATAGCGTCCCTTTCTTCACCAGCCTCTTTTTGTTCTTCTTCTTCTGATTCCTCATCTTGGATCCTTCGGAGACGTTTGAAACGTTTCTGTAAAAATGAAACTTTTAATATATATACATACATATATATATATACATTCATGTGTATGTGTGTGTTGCTCTTTTTAAAGATAATAAAATATATAGATTATACCCTTTGAAGCTTAACACCCAAATTTTCTTCCAATAACTCATAATCTTCATCTTCTAAACGATCATCAAAGTCTTCATCACTTTTTTTACGCTTTTTATGGTGATCAGAACCATCACTGTCTTCACCTTCACTTTCATCTATGGGATTGTCATCTATTAAATCTTTCAGTTCCTCGCGTAATTGATCTTCATCATCTATAAAATATAACATCAATGCATATAATTATATAATTGAAACTCATTAAAGAACAAAAAATTTTATCTAACATTCATAAACCCCATTAAAAATTATTAAGCCCCTTGCACAATGCCCAATGCACAATACATTATTCTTGTAATAGTCGATTGTGATTGGTCTATTTTTATTCTTATTGCTTGTTGCCTGGCATTGTGCAAGAAGCCTTAATTTAGCAACAATAAAAACAGGAAATATGTTGATATTTTTCTTAAAATAAGATGTCTTTACAATGGTTGTAAAATTTTCTGCTAAACATTATCTAATGGTTTATGCTTCTTAACAATTACTATGTATATATAATTACAATACTATTATGATCTATTGCAATTGCTGACAGTATTTAGTATTAGGAGATCTAAATAATTTATATCTTTATATCTTTATAAAATCTTATAAATCATTATACATCAAACATTATATATCAACTAGGTCCAAAAGTTTGAGCAATATTGACAATTAGTTTATTCTTTCTCTGTGCATTCTCTATTCTTCTATTAATTTTTTTTTCTGTTTCTCCATCAAATCTTAACTATATACTTCTATTTTAAAAATTGGATAATTGAAACTTTTCCACACAATATATATGTTTTTTATTACAGAAAATATTTTAATAAATGTTGGATACAATAAAATACATATTATTAATAAAATACATATTATAATTATAAGAAGAACCAAACATTTCAGCCTTATATATGATCCTCATCAGTGGTATATATGCTAACATATGGACAATAATTGTTCCTCCTCGAACATTGATATTAATACAAAAATCATTTAATTGTATTACAATATCATACTGTCCTTTGTCAATCCACAAAACAGAAAAGGAAGCTCTTGATTTGGCTGCTTTCTTTTATGATGTATATGCTATACCATACCAATTCAATCCTGGTACTTAGATAGGAATCTAGAAGTATCGTGAATTCTCACAAATAGGTTCACATGTGTAATTTTAAGAGTCAGCCAAATTCAATTGTGCAGTATAACGATAAGACAAACCAAACCATACTGAACTTGACATAGTCAAACAATGTTTTTAAAACTTAACTATTATTAGGATAAACGAACAGAAAGCACTTTGCACTTCATGTGTCATACTTGTAAGAAACAGAAACACCCTATTACAAAAGTTATATGTTTATTTTGAAGGTTTTTTAAGAGAACTAAGCAATATGACGTATTTAACACATTGACTGCCAACTACGAGATATCTCATAGGTTGTTTACTTGCCCAGGACGCCTAACTATGAGTTATCTCGTCTCTTCATTACTTGCCATATTTGTACAGCTACGAGGAAACTCGTAGCATAACAGTGTAAATATGAATAGATGGCCTCAGGAAAGAGAATAAAAAATGTTTTCTAAAAAAAAAACATTTTTTAAGCTTTTTGATTATTATTATGTACTATTATTAAAGTTTTTAATAATATAACATAATTAAATCAAATTGGCTCTTTAGACCGGAATCGTGAAAAATTCCGTGGCAGTCAACGTGTTAATAACACAGTATCAGTATGCAAATTTATACTGTCTATTGCTTGTTTGATATATAACACTACAGAAAGCAACTATCTTCTGTAAAATGGTTTGCAATCTAATATTTCCAGATTATCAAAATCAAATTTATGAACAAGGTCAATACAATATTCATTTACCACTGATAGGTTTCCATAATTAATTTGTTTGTGTTCACAAATTCGAGTCCTTACTAAACAACCTGTTTGGCTCGTATAGCACGCATTAGTTTTTGCAATATATTCAATAAACCATATTCTTGTTCAGTAGAAAACATATTTATATCGTATGTAGGTCCCAGCTGTCCGATTTAAAAAAATTTATATTTACATCCGTTAGAGCTGTAAATATATCTATTAACTATATACTTGTTTCTCAAGTTCTGAAAATGTATACCAATTCTTTGAAAAAGAATAAGTCAAATGGTATTTAATATATTTAACCTTCTTTAATCATCTTCAAGCATCTAGTCTTGCTTTTCAAATTCAACAAATTCTATCCAGTATAAACAAAGACATTATTCATTATTCAATAAAAATCGTCGTAGTAGCATTTATCGAGCATGCGGTGTGGACATAAAGAATATGGACATGCACTATAGTGTTTCTTACCTTCTTCCTCCTCATCGTCGCTCTCCTCCATCGCCTTTAGCTTCTTCAATTTCTTTTTTTCATTCTGATCTAACTCTTCTTCACCCTAAAACATGTCAAATTGCCTTGGTTCAAGAAACAATGTCGAGCATCGTTTGGGCATATCATCAATTACATAAAATTCGCGACATAGGAAAAAAAAGCGTGAAAAGCCGCAACAATACTTGCCTCGCTCACATCAGCCTCGGAATCTAGATACTGTGCCATTCTTTGTCGTTATCGCTAAACTCTGTCGAAATTTTTCAAAAACTACAATGATTCAGACTTAATTAACAGGTTCTTATAACACCTTCGTTACCTTCCACCACCTTCTACTTCACTACCTTCTACTACCTTCTACTACATTCATCTTCTTCCACTGATCATACGAAGATGCACGAATTCTGTACGCACTTTCTATATTAGCCCCGGTCTACAATAGGTGATTTAAGCTATAAGAAATTAACCAATCACAGTCGAATGTAAGGAAAATAATCGACTGTGATTGGTTAATTTCTTACGGCTTAAAGCTTAAATCATCATTGTAAACCGGAATTTATAGCGCCATTTTTATTTCTGAAAAATTAGTTTTTATTGGATCGTCAGTTGTGATGTAAACTTTTCATAAAATGAAGTTGGAAGATAAAAATAACGTCGCTCAACAGAAACATTTATTTTTTTGGGAATCAAATCTTATTTAATGTATTTTTAACCCAATAAAAATAATGTAATCAACTTTAAAGAGGGCGTGACGATAGGACACAAATTCTCGATGCAGTTACCATTTCATCATACTACATAATCTCTGCGGTTCCTCTTCTCTTCTATCTCAGTTTGCTTACTACCCTACGTTTTTTTGTACTGTAGTACTGTAGAGCGTGATCCGTTTCGTGTCGTAAGACTTAAAGGTATGTGTGCATTTCAAATTTACATAGAGAATAATACCTGCGCTTTAAGTAATTTAAACATTACTAAGATAAAATATGCAATGCTTTTATCCGATTGTGTTTTATTAACTATATCGTTGGATTTCTTCATTTGTATCACGTGTCTGTATCTTGTAAAACCTACAAATAGATCATATGAAGGATATATATTTATTTTTCTTACAATGTTTATCTTCCGAATTTTAATTTTATACATATATATACGCACAGATTTTTTTAGAATCAAATATATAAATTCGATATCATTGTTTCCAAGCGCAAGTCTTGTTCGCTTTCGTGGCGGTTGGATGTAGTTCCTGTAACTATGCATATTTTTTGATCGTGGGAACTGCATACTCGTTGTTCCTGTTTTTCTTTTACCTTCATACTACTGGAAAATGGCGTATGGACAAAGCTGAATGCAGTCCGGAGCCATATATTGAACTGAACTGAACTGTCTCCAAGCGCAATGGGTTATCCATTGCTTATTTTACATTTTTATATCAATATACATATAAAAACTTATCATTTTATGATGATTTATATCATACCATCTTTCGTCTGAATGATTGTGAAGATATATTCATTACTGATGACTAAATTTTAAAAGAATTGTACTTCTTATATTGTATCAATAATTTAATGCAAATATATTATCTTATAGAATGCGTTACGTGGCCGCTTATGTACTGGCTGTTCTTGGAGGCAAAGCCTCACCAAGACAGAATGATATTGAGAAGGTCTTATCATCTGTTGGAATTGAAACTGATTCTGAAAAGTTGAAGAAAGTAATTTCAGAATTAAATGGAAAGCCTATTGACGAGTTGATTACTAAAGGTACTTTACTAAATTATTAACTATTACTAAAGGTAGTGGATTTTATAAAACATCATTTTCTTACTTAAGGATAACATTTTATGAGGTCTAAATTTTTATTATTGTATAATTTTAGGCAGGGAAAAATTATCATCCATGCCAGTTGGTGGAGCAGTTGCTGCAGCTGTTATTCTTGCCAGTGATGCAGCAGTTATAATAGAAGAGAAGAAAGGTAAATTCATATATTTTTTTATCATAACATCAACAGTCTACTACATCTACAGTTTGTTTACATAAAAATATAAAAGTTGTGAGAGTGACAAATACAAATTACTTATGTATCAACATTAGTTACATAAATGATCTTGTTCCAACAGAAGAGAAGAAACCCACCAAAGAAGAATCTGAATCAGAAGATGACATGGGCTTTGGCTTGTTCGACTAGATTTTTCATCTCGAAATCAAACAACTTGATTTAAGAATAAAATATGCCATATTTAGCAGTAGTGAGTGAAATCCAATAAATTTTTATATTGTATAAAGTATATTAAATTTGTACCACTATACCACTACTGAGGAATAAAGCATATTTAACTGAATTTAGTCTGACATTTTCCATTATTTTGTTTCTATGCCTACTTTTATATATCTACCTTTCCCTCTGCATATTATGAGTGATAACTAGCAAGTTTTGAGTATATTGACGAAGGCTTAAATTGCTAATTTAATTTAGCATAATGGTAATTGTACATTTTTTCAAACAGCTTGAGCAGATTCTCTTTCCGACACTATTTGGCATCGTACTTGTATTCCTTCCATAGATTGTTGATGGTCAGGAGCTGATCATTAGGGCTCAAGCAGCAAGCAGCTTCTGTGCTGAGGAAGGAAATGAAGAACTCTGATTTGTTGATTCTCTTATGCGTTGTGTATTATGCGGTATGCAAAAGTCTGTTCTGGCTCTTAAGGCTTGTCTACATTAGCTGTAAGAATAAGGCTGTAAGGTTGCAAGACACGAAATGAAATATTTTCATTCGCTGACAGCTTACGTTACAGCCTACAGCCTTAAGCTAAGACTCCATGCATGCGGTGAGCTTTGACTATATAACTATGGACTGCTAGCAGCTTACTTTTCCACGCAATAAGTGTCTACAGACATCTGCAGCGCCGCCAGTACCAAACACGGCAAATGATGGAACTCGTTGAGCATAACGAATGATAACGAAGTAGACGTATCAAGTAGCTATATATTATACCATATGAGATATATAATAACACGGCAATTACAAACAAGAAAATAATAAATAAAAATGAAATACTGTGTTGTCCATTGGTGCAATAATTCTATTCATAAAGAGAAAAAGACAGGAAAGCATGTGGCTTTATTTGCGTAAGTCTCTCTCATGTTACATTACAACAATAACTTATTAAATGGTTAATTTTTAAATAAAGTAAGAAAGCAGTGTTGTATAATATGTGTATACATATAAACACATGAGATTGCAATAATAATACGGCAATTAAAAGTAATGTTTGTACAATTTCATGTGTTTAGACATGTATGAGAATATCATATGAAACAAATATATTACTAAAATAGTTTAAATCTTTATTAATATTTTTAGATTTCCAAAAAATCTGGAACATCGTACAAAATGGGTGAAAGCATTGAAAAATGTGGCCATAAAAACAAATAGCACTGTATGTCAAGAACATTTTAATGAAACCTGTATGTACAAAACTGAATTGTCATCATTACGCTTGTACGAAGGATCTGTACCATCTATATTTCCACATGTTTCTAATTTAAGGTAATATTACTAAAATTGTTAATACATTTAAACTATAATAATACCACTTTCATACAAACTTTATACAAATAAAAAAAAATTGTTAATAGCATAACAGAAAGTATACACTGTAACGAAAACAATAATGCATCTTCTGAAGTATTGATGGAAGATGAATCAACAATTGGTTCTCATCAAGGACAAACACAAGATGATATGACATATTCAACAAAAACCAATACTGTGGCGTCAAGTGATAAATGTTTAATAAGATATCCAGGAGATATTACAACCGAAAAAGTGGCAAACATGTCGTCAAGTAGTTTAAGGAAGTTTAATTATTAAATTATTAAAAAAGATTACTTGCGAAACATGTCTTTATCTTTTTAACGAATGTACAGTTATGAAGTCTACATTCATAGAAAGAAAAAGCTGTGGATATTTACATTATCCACGAGAAGATACATATAAACTCATTGTTGCCGCTGATAAAGTTTTTAATTTTTATAAATTACAGAATAATTTGTATAAGAAAAATGCATGCCAAGAAATAATTATAAAAACAATACGTAATATTGATATGGATAAGGTATTTATAAATTTTAACAACCACGTTAATGAGTTAGACGTTTTCGAAAATCACAAATATTATTTAATTAAATTAATTATAGAATGTTATATACAGATTCTTATGAATTATGAAGGGAAATTAATGAGCCAAAATATTGAGTACATCAGACATCAGTTTACAAAAATTATTTTATTCAAAGGTCAGTAATATCTTAACAAATATGGAAAATGTAACGTTTTTTTTTACATTAATAACAAAGTTCTATTTTTATTTATGTTATGTTTAACATATATATGTTATGTGATGCTATGTTTAACATATATATTTTTATTTTTATTTATATATAAATACTAATTGTTATTGTATAAAAAAGATTTTCATAACATAAACTATATAACTAATGTAATTTTTATTATATACAGCATATTTTGTATTCTTTATATTTTCCTTTCCTTATAAATTCATGATCGCAAATAATATCTTTTTAATGGTAAAACAGGAATGAAAAGTGCGATGATAGTTCTAATAATGGCCGTGTTTGGTACTGGCGGCGCTGCAGATGTTCATAGATGCCCAAAGTCATTGCTAGCAGTCCATAGTTATATAGTCAAAGGCGGTGAGCTGCGGCAAACGGCTGCGGTGACCAATCAGGAGACAGACGCATGCCGGAGCTTGCCGCAACCGGACTTGCGCCTCCCTCCTGATTGGTCACCGCAGCATTTGCCGCAGTTCACCGCATGCATGGAGTCTTAAGCTTACTCTTACAGCTATTGTAGACGAGCCTTTAGGGTCTATCCAAACAAATTTGCATAAGCGCGTAACGCATATGCATAAGGAAATTGACTAATCGTATGTTTAATACAAAAAATATTTTTTTACTACACAGATCATAATTAGTCAATTTCCTTATGCATATGCGTTACGCGCTTATGCAAGTTTGCCTGGATAGGCCTTTACTCTTACAGCTAATGTAGACGAGCCTTAAGGTCATTCTACAATGAGGTGTAGTAGTATGCAGTAGGCAAATTGACCAATCACAGTCGATTATTCTTCGATCGTAAAGAGAATAATCGATCGTGATTAGTCAATTTGCTTATTGCATACTACTACAACCTCATTGTAGAATGACCTTTAAGCGTAGTCTACAATGGCAGTAAGCAGTAAGAAGTAAGCGTAAGCGGTAAGAAATAAACCAATCACAGTCGATTATGACAAAAATAATCAACTGTGGTTGGTCCATTTCTTACTGTTCATGCTTACTTCTTACTGCTTGCGGCCATTGTAGACCACGCTTGAGAAACAGTTGCGATTCAGTGGGTGCATTCAGTACTACAACCGCTCACTGAGCGCTCAATGAGCTTTTACATTTGATTGGTATATTCCTTTAGATTTAAAAATATATACCAATCAGATGCAAGAGCTCACTTAGCGCTCAGAAGCGGTTGTAGTACTGAATGCACCCAGTGATGACAAGTCATGGGAATTTTTCCCATATAGGAGCCGTTGTGCGCATGCGTGAGCATGACGTCAGACGCCTCGACGCAAGCGTTTCCAGTGATGGATGTAAACGCAGATAGTAGATGCAAATAGTGCGCGCGAAAGGTCCCGCGCAGCTGTCTATTACAGTTGTTTCACGTTTTTCCCGTGAGTATTTATAGTAGTTATATATTCATAATGTAAAATGTAATAAATAAGTGTAACGATAAATGTAGTGATAAGTTAAGAAAGAACTGTGATAATAAGTGCAATAGGAATAATAAATATAATATATTGGCTGCAGATGTAAAAAAATTACAAATTAATAAGTTTTGTTATTATCTTTTATTATTCATATATAAACTATATTATATTTATTGAACAGAAGCTTTTTTCATTCTTTATAATATCCTTCACATTTCTTTCATAGTGGGGACCTAATGATACCTTCAAATATATATGTCCGTGAAGCTACCACACGTTTGCTCAGTGTACGTGCGCGACTTTTCCCATAACTTGTCATCATTGTTGCGATTGCCGGTTGTCGTCGCCAAGAAGTTAAAGTTGGATAACTCTCTTCAAATACAATCGCAACTGTCTTACGACCGAAAATAACACTTTGTAACTAGTAGTTGCCATTCTTCACAACTCGCAACTGAGTATTTGCAACCTATTCTGAACCGGGCTTAACTGCTTAAGTTCGTTTGTGTGTGATGGCCTTTATTTCTATTCTCTGTTCCTGTTGTCTAGTATTGTATAATGGCCTTAAAGAACAGACCATTTGTCGCTATGACAGGTTTCCTAACCTGCATACCTATCAACTTTAATGATTCATATTTCGCTTTGCGGAGTCGAGTGATGATTTTAACTTTCATATTCGATTTCTACGCGTCAAAATACATAAGACAGGTGAGTTGCAGCAAAATCAAAGGTAATAACTGTTTTTTTTAAATTATTACTGTAAATTTTTTTCATTTTTCATATTACAATACCTAAAGAAAAATTCGTCACTTTAATCACTCGTAACAAATTTAATACTTTGAGATAATTTCCAGAAAAAATTGCCAATGTCATTATCTCGACGAGGTTGATATGCTTTCATTGTTGGAAGAAAATAAATTTGAATGCCGGTTAGTTTTACCATTTTAATAAATGTAACAGTAAAGGGTAAATTTATTTTTATGGTTAACATAATTTGTAACTTTTTCAAATGAAATACTTGAAAAATAGAAAACAAATGTAGTGTCTTGATAGTGATATGATACTTTGTGTAGGGTTAGTTCGGTATTAAATAAAAACATTCGATCTTACGGAAAGAAACACATGTTCGACAAATCCAATGAAACATGTTGGAATTCCGATGCAGTAAGTAACTAGTTCTTTTCAAGAATCAATTTTGTATATCTCTGATATTAGTCAATATGATTAATAACAAATATATACATATTGCAGGGTACTCCACAATGGGTTATTATTAACTTTGAGAAAGAGTGTAGTCTTTCCAGCTTTGAAATAGAATTTCAAGGTGGATTTGTTGGTAAAGATTGCTACCTGGAAGCTGGTAACAATGAGAAAGATACAACAGTTGCAGAAGCATTTTATCCAGAAGATGTTAACAATCTACAGCGATTCAACTTGGTTAACAAGATCAAAGCCAAAACTTTAAAATTTATATTCAATCAGAGTACAGATTTCTTTGGCAGAATTATTATATATAATTTATCATTATACTCATGATATTATATATATATATATATATATATATATATATATATAGGGTGTAAACGAATAATACCCATATTCATAGTCCTTCCTTGAGAAATAAGGATTCCTTATTCCTCATCTTATATTTTATAAACCTTCCTTGACCAAATAAGGAGCTTTATTGGCTTCCTTATCTCAAGGGAAGTCACGAGCTTCCTTGAGGAGGTAATGTTACCTTAGATCTGTTCGTTTTCGCTATATTTCTGAACTAATGTACAAAAATGCAATAAGTTTTTAATATATGATGTGCAGAATAAACCAAACATAACCTGCAACACTTAATTTTGTAACCTATCACAATTTACTTATGATGCGCTTTCAAACTGAAAGTGTATAAAGGAAAAGACAACGGACAATGAATTTTTAAGGGAGGAACCTGGTTTATAAGGTCAAGATTTTCGAATTTTTTTTGCTTAATCGATGGTTAAAGCAGAGAGAAACCTGAGAGCGGCCACAACCGCGTTTTGCTTGAGGCGCTTTTTCGCGACTGTTTGATACCGCCCTCTGCATCCATTTTTAGCCGGGAACTATTTGCTGCATCGATTTTCTGACGCGCCGGTAAAGTCTCCACTTGGTGCGAGTCCGTGCTACGTCCATTTTCAGTCGCACGCCGTGGACGGCGTAACAAGGACATCTTTTTTACGTCCAATTTATGTCCACGGACGTAAATTGGACATATGGACATAAATTGGACGTGAACGTACGGTCGCGGACATAAAGGTTGTCACTTTTTTTTTAATGACTTTCGGGACGCATCCCGACTCAAGAAAGATGAGAGCTGCTGCTCCGCCTGCGGAGTACGCCTGCGCAGTAACTCACAACGAAAGGCGAGAAATGAAATATACGTAGTATCAGAGAGGAAGCTGAGAGCGGCCAACATGGCGTTTTCGGCGACACCGATTTTTCGCACTGGGAATGGGCGCTATCTGCATCCATTTTGAGAGGGGAACTACGATGCTACATCCACTTTTAGGTCTCGACGGTAAAACCTGCATCTGGTGGCTGTCCGTGCTACATCCACCTTCAGGCGGTTTATGTCCGTGCTACAACCATAATAGCGTACTTGACAAGCACGGTCTCGCGCATTGTTATGCATTTGTAACATGAATTAACATGTTAACATGCACAAAAAAAATAAGAATTGAGATTGTATATGATTAATATCATGAAGATTATATACGAATTATATCGATATATAAATATATGATAATAAGATAATATTTTGTGTGTACCCAAAATTATTTCTCCAAAATATTTCAGCGTTACGTTAGTATTTATTTATACTCCGGCAGGCGTTTTTTAGCGCAGTTGTGTCCGTGTGCATGTATTGCATTGAAAGTGTGCGTAACGTACGTGTGCATATACGCACGCGCGCGCACACACACACACACACACACACACACACACACACACACGCACACACACACACACACACACACACACACACACACACACACACACACACACACACACACACACACACACACACACACACACACGTGTCATATGCAACAGATAGAATCTATATGCTTAAACATTTTCAATTGCCGTACGTTTCTATGTAAGAATGTAGTCGGCACACACACACAGAGAAACTGCTCCCGTCTATCCGTCTGAAGTCCCGCCCGCCGCTCGGCTTGTTTTGACGAGCCAAGCGAAAGAGAGAGAGAGAGGGAATGTGTTCGCTCCATCTCGCTCTGATTCGCAACGTTGCCGAGATTGTGCTTCCCGACACACGTCCGAGACTGACGTTTCACTCTCGGCGTGAATCCAACGAGATGATCAATAGCAATCGATTTCGACTAAACTCGTTGTGTCGATAGATTTGCATGACAAATTAACATTGCACTTAAAGATATGGCGTAGCATTGAAGCGTTTGTAAGAAAGTCGCGATTGAAAATCGCGAGTGCTTTATGAACCAAATGAAGGAGCGAGCTTCTCAAAGAGCGTGTAGCTTGGTGGAAGTATGCTGGACTCGCGGGGTTGAGGTCGGTGGTTCGAATCTCCTTGGCGGTCGGCGTGGTCCTTTTTCGCCAATCATTTTTTTTTCGTTTTTTAGGAAAATGCACGTGTTGCATACAATATATGTGTATCACAATAAATTTTTTTTCATTTTTTAAGAAAATGCACGTATTGCATACAACACACGGGCATCGCAAGCATTGCACGTTTCGTCGATGACACTTCCTCTGAGACCCCGCCCTTCGCTCGACTTGTTTCGAAGAGCCAAACAAAAGAGAGACAGAGAATGTGTTCGCTCCATCACCTCTGTGAAGATGGCCCTTCATTCTTCAAATTTGAAAAAAATTATTAGAGTTCTGAATGCTCCTCGCAGAGTTCTAGCAACAGGAGCGGTCGGCCACGAAGCATGCGGAGACTAGATGCGGGGCCCCTAGCGCGGCCGTGGTCACGCCGCCATTGGCCGCCGCATCTGGGGAAGAGGGCGCCACCTCCCGGGTCGGTAAATTACGCGAATTCTGGGAGTCCTCGCCGGAACAACGCCCGCCGGTGGCCGAAATAGACCACACGGCGGCCAATTGGAGGACTCCCAGGCGTAGCTCCGTGGAGCCGACCCGGCGGGCGTGCAACGCCGAGGCGACCGCCGTTCCGACGAGAAAGACACCATCCTCGTTGGGCGGCGGTTCGTTCTCGAGCGCAGGGTCCCTCGGGGGGACTCCGCCGACCACCTGCGGAGCATCCCCGGGGGGCCTGGCTGGCATTCAAACGCCATGCACGCCCATTTCAAGGACAGTGGCGACCCTCACCACCGTCACCATCACAGTCTCCACGGCGGGGAGCCCGATCATGTCGACCGAGCTCCCGGGCGCGGGTACACGGGGCGCGATTTCCTCGCCCCCTCTGCCCCGCGCCCAGCCGGTGGAGACGTCCCCAGCGGCGGCCGATGAGCGGCTCAGGACACCACCAGGGACGACCACCAGCCCACCGGAGGGAGGAGGAAGAGGAAGGAAGAGCAGCAGCCCCCCTCCGAGAAGGATGACCCTACGGCCGCGCAGGGCGGGGGCCTCGCGGAGGTCGGCCGCTCTCTACACGGAGGACGAGGGTGGCAGGGACGGCGACGACGAGGAGGGTGCCGACGGTGGCAGCCCGTGGACGGTCGCCACCCCAAGGTCCGCGCGGCGAAGGGCGTGCCGCGCGCGCGTACGCTCGTCGGATGAAGAGGCCACGAGCGCGGCTTCCCGGGCGGCACTCGAACCGCCGCCCCTCACGGAGGCGAATTTTCCCCCGCTTGCGGGGGCGAGCGCGGCGCGAGGCAGAGGGACGCCGCCGGTTCGGAGGGTGGAGGAGACACGCGCGCGAGATACTGGCGAGGGAGGCGCCGGAGACGGGTCCGGTCCGCGTGGAGTCCGCGGCGTGATGGGTTGGCGGGGAGCACCCGCGTCCGTCGACGCGCGTCCGGATGCGATTCGGGCGACTGCGGCTCCGGGTTCCCGCGCGGGCGGCGGCGCGACGCGACTCGCTAGGGCGCCGCGCAACCCGCCGATGGCGGCGCGCGGTCCTCGAGACGCGCGGGATGCCGCTCCGAACGTCGAGAGACGGACGGGGCGTCAGCTCGCCGTCGAGAGGACGTGGCTCGTCGACGCGGCGGATCGCCGAGCTCGAGGATCTGGCGATTCAGGTCGCCGGATTCTTCGGGGGAGGCGGGCCAGGGCGTGGCGCGCCGCGCGCTCGTCGACCGCCACCACGCCGGTTGCGTGAGGCCGACGAGGAGCGGCGAGGGGAGAGGGACGCGCGAGAGGGTGGCCGTCAGGGGGAATTGGCACCGGCCAATGTCCCCGATTTTTTCGGAGAAGACGGCCGGAACAGGACTCGTGAAGCAGCGCGAATACAAGCGCTCTTCAGGAGGAACCGACGCAGGGCAGTTCGAGAAGTGTTGGCCGGTCCCGCGGAGGTCTGCGATCTGCCGACCGACGTGGTACAGGCGCACTTCGAAGAGCTGTATCGCGGAGGGGACGACCTGCGGGGCGCCGAGCCTGCGGAGCGAACCGACGTCCCGGGCGAGGACGGCGGTGCGGCGGCGCTGATGGAGCCGTTCACGGAGCGAGAGGTGTGTCGTCGGCTCCGGCGTATGAATAACTCTGCGCCGGGTCCAGACGGCATAACCTACAAGGACCTCCGTGCAGCGGATCCATCGGCGCGGCTGCTCGTCGCCCTCTTCAACGCATGTTTGCGGCTCGAGGCGGTTCCTGCCGTCTGGAAGACCTCCAACACAGTCATGGTGTACAAAAAAGGAGATCGCGGTAATATAAATAACTGGCGCCCTCTCGCGTTGGGGATACCCTGCCCAAACTTTTCGCCGCCGTGTTGGCCGATCGTATCACCGAGTGGTGCGTGGTCAGCGGGAAGCTCAGTCCGGCTCAGAAGGGATTCCTAAGGGGCGAGGGGTGCTTTGAGCACAACTTCGTCCTGCAGGAGATCCTGACTGATGCCCAGAGGAGTCGCAGGGAGGTGGTAGTCGCGTGGCTAGACCTTTCCAACGCGTTTGGATCGGTTCCCCACAGGGCGATCCGCCGCGCACTGGTTCACGCGGGCGCGCCAGCGGGCCTCATCGCCGTATGGGGCTCGCTGTACGATGGTTGCACCACGCGGGTGCGAACCGCTGATGGTTTCACAGCGCTCATCCATATTCGCTCGGGCGTACGCCAGGGATGCTGAGTCCAATCGTGTTCGACCTCGCGATCGACTCCGTGCTGCGTGCGGTCACGGCTGTCGGTCTCGGGGTCGAGCTCTTGGACTCGCGGTGGTCAGTAATGGCCTATGCAGATGACCTGGTACTGGTCTCCAGGACGCCCGACGAAATGGAACGACTGCTCGCAGTCGCGGTGAACGAGGCATCGTCGGTCGGGTTGCGGTTCAACCCTGCCAAATGCGCCACCCTGCACATCGGTGCAGGCGGAGCGGGCAGGGTCCGACTGACGACCCTCCGGATCCAGGGCCAACCGGTCCGTGCAATGGCCGAGGGCGAGGC